GATACATATACAAAGTTAGCATAGATTTACATACATATTCCACATGTGATGCACCTACACTCATGCATGAGCACATTCACACTGCCCAGACACACAAATGCAGCATGTAGTCATCTGGTAATAAAAGTGGGGTGCAGCCGAGAGCTGGTCAATTACTTGTCTTGCTCCTATTTGTGAATGCTGTCTTTTATTGAGCTTGGGTGGAGGCCTGCTGTTGATTAAAACGGCCGGTCTCCAGCTGGAGACAGGGCCAGCTGAGATAGCTGCACACATTCACATTTACTGCACACAGTCTTAACTGCGAGGAAATTCACACTTCTATTTGAGATTGAGATTAATTTTCTGCACCATGTGGCTTGTCTTCCCTCTTTAGCATGCTCCCTTCTTATTACAGGAGCATCTGCTCCATGATGATGATGTAAATGGATTTCGAACGTAGATTATTTTATACCCTGCTGAAATGAGCGTCGTTCACCAGGGGGAAAGGTTTCTTATGTTTTCTTATATCTTAATTCAAGCGTACACTTTTCATCCAGATTTTTTTTAGAATTTGCATTTTCCCAGCGAGGATCCATGCAGTCAGGTATTGTTAACTGTCGACATGCACTTTTTGCAACAGATAATTAGAGCGTAGATTGTTGTAGCATCCACACCTCCATTGATTTGTAGAATCTCTTAGCGCCCCCCCCCCCCATCCTCTCCTCCTTCTCCTCCTACCTCAGCCTCTCCCTTCCTTTAGGAGCAAAAAGCTCTACTCATCTGTTTTCTGTGTATGAATTTCCAGCCGTGCATTAGTCTCCCTGACATGTTCAAGCGATGCTTTATTTAGCTTGTCGGATTCTGCAAATAAACGCAATCTTGGGGTTTATGGAAAAATGGATAAAAATTAAATTGTAAGGTATTGATCTGGATTGTGAGTAGTTGGTGGGGGTGCTGTGTGTGTGTGTGTGTGTGTGTGTGTGTGTGTGTGTGTGTGTGTGTGTGCAGTGGGTGGTGAGTGGGGGGCCAAGCTCTCATCTGTGTGAAGGGGGTTGGGGGTTGGGGGCGGTGGGGGGAATGAAGCCGTAATTCAGGGCTATTGAACCCCCTGCCACTGGCGGCATCGATCGCCAGGCAGCGCTTATGAGATCACACCTGAGCACTGGAGACTGCAGAGGGGAGGGAAAGGGGGGCGGGCGAGAGGGGGGACGAAGGAGTAGAGAGTAAGAAAGAGAGAGAAACAGAAGGTTGTGATATGATCAGCTCCTTACCCACTGTCTGAGGGCCTGTTAAGGTGTTAACATCAAGCCTCAGAGCCAATTACCTAACCCTGCAAGTACACTACACACACACACACACACACACACACACACACAAACGCACAGTGTTGTGACACTGGAGAAGAAGGAGACAGGGTTACTGGACACTTGCTGTAGTTTCCCCTCCTCCTCCTCCTCCTCCTCTTCCTCCATCTCCTTTCCTCCTCTCTTGTGTTTCCACGACGACTCCACCACCCTGACCTCTCAATTATGCCTCACCCCACCCCTCCCCTCACCTCCTACTCTTTGCGCCCCAAACATCCACCCCCTTTTACCCACCCACCCCCCCCCCCCCCCCCCCCCCCCCCCCCCCCCCACCCCCACCCCCCCCCCCCCCTCCCCGAAGCTCGTACTTCTAACACCCCTCCACCCACTCCGCCCTAGCCTCCTCTCCTCCTTCTGCTACCCCCTCACCCCTTCATACACACTCCCCCTGCGGCTCTGTGGGTTATTATAGTGAAATATGAAGCGGTGTGGATTCTAGGCTTCATGAAATTTCCATGAGCATTGATCTGATCTGATGTGGGTGATTGCTAGGTGAATCCCTCCAGTCCAGGGCTGTTGCTCATCTATTCATTTATTTATGGCAGTTATGTTTTACTGGCTTTGATTTGCTCTTCTGGAGAGCGACAGCTAAGGATTATAAATATACCTGTATAGGAGAGTGTGCTTTGAATCCCAGAGTGTACCTGCACACCACTCCTCTTTCGAGGCAGGAGAGTTTTTTTTTTTTTCTCTTCTTCCAGCACTAATTCCCATTGTGAAATGTGAGATATTGAGCATAGATATAAGAGCATAAAATGCCAAGATAATCCCCAAAGAGACACTGCCAGGTAGTTAGTGGTGTGCGCTGTCCCCCACATACTCCTCCCCTGCTTTATGGTCCTTGAAAACGAGCAGAGACAATATCACTTCCTCTCTCAATTACCAAAATTGTCTCTTTATTTGTAATAGGGGGTATCTCTGTATGTCTTGGGGTTTTTATGCTATTGTTCACTCGAGGCTCATTTGGCACATTGTGGAGAACTGATAAAAAATTCATCATAAAAACAAAAGCCTTTGAGACGAAAGAGAGGATGTTGTCGGAACAATCCCCTCCTCAAACTGCAGGCCTAATCCAGGGCAAATCCTCCTTAAGGCTTTAGAGAGATCAGAGAATAGGGAAGTAATGTCAAATATTTGTCCTCAGAAATAATTCATACTTTATTTGTTGCATGTGATCATCTCATTGTTTTGGCTTATTTTATCAGTGGACCAGCTGGCCTGTAATGTGTGTCATTCTTCAGAAGTTGAGCCTGCCTCTAGCGTCTCTACTTCTACTTTTTCCCCTCTGTGCCTTCTTTTCCTCCAGCTTTTCACCTTTCCTTTCTTTCACTCTTATGGATTACTGGAACGGTCCACTGGGAAAGCTGTCCAAATACCTTTGTGTTGCCAAAACAGAGCGTCACCGGCTCGTGCTCTTTTGCTCTCTTTTCGGTTTGTGTGTTTGAGTAAGTGGCTCAGGAGGCGCCATGGTGAAGTCACTAGAGGTCCAGCAGGACAGCTTGTACTCATAGCCTCTAGGGGCCTTTTTTCTGAGGGCCGCCTAGTCAGCCTGGCTGCTCAGATGTGAGGCGAGCAGGGCATCAGCCCTCAGGAAACGTCCAAGCTGCGACCCACAGGGGAAACAGACGGACAGCACAGACTCATACAGGCGATCCTCATGCATAATGGCTCCTTGTCTTTCACTTTTCACGCGCTTGCAAGTACAAACACACACATGCCAAAGCCACATACGCTGCCACAAACTCTTTACAGAAGCAGCTTCTTATAGGCTGGAGCCCAGAAAAGTAGTCAAGGCTGCACTCCATGTATGTGCATTGACTCCCCAGGCAACCCGCAAAGAGACAAAGGTGGGGGGGGCGGGTGTAAAAGAAAAAGAGAAAAGAGAGAGAGAGAGAGAGAGAGAGAGAGAGAGAGAGAGAGAGAGAGAGGGAGAGAGTACATTAGGAATGAATTATGTGGAGAGAGCACTTATCCAACAATCCTCCTCTGAAGTGTTTGTACTATAAGCCTCAGATCTTCATTGTATTTATTCTAATGTTTAAATATTCATGGTAAATCTTCTCATATTCAATTACCGTAGCACGACCACAGCATGCTGAGAGAGTGCTTTCTCCCTGCTGCCTGGATGATCTGACTCTGTGTGTGTGTTTGTGTGTGTGTGCATGTGACTGCATGCAACTGTCTGTACATATGTGTGTGTGTGTGTGTGTGTGTGTGTGTGTGTGTGTGTGTGTGTGTGTGTGTGTGTGTGTGTGTGTGTGTGTGTGTGTGTGTGTGTGTGTGTGTGTGTGTGTGTGTGTACGTGTGTGTGTTTAGCTTGTTCCCCGGAGCGATCAAGCCTTTGTTATATTGGAACCAGGCTCTGTAATTGCTTATATTAGTCGCTGATCAACGCAAGACCACAGGACACACACACACACACACACACACACACACACACACACACACGCACGCACACACACATTCACATTCACACAAATACACATACACTCCCGATTCCTGACAGTCTTTTTATTAACCACCAAAGCAGGCGACAAAGAGAGATTCATTACATCACAGGCAAACAAAGACACACACCAGACTTAATAGAGAACACCCACATTTTCAGCGTGTTTAGTTTAATGTTGAAATATTCATGTAAAAACCGCGCTTAATTCAGTCATTTCTACCGTCTACTTTATCTCTCAGTTGCTCTTGAACAGTAGGTGTTTTCATTATGAAGAATCAAGCATTAAACTTTTTTTTTTTCCTCCGTCTCTCTTCCTGTTTGTGCTTAGCGCTCAACGAGCCAACTATAGACTACGGCTTCCAGAGGTTACAGAAGGTCATCCCCAGACACCCCGGAGACCAAGAGAGATTACCCAAGGTACAGTGCCTCCACTCCTCTCATGTGTCTGTGCTCACGCTGGTCGCCACATGCAATTATTTTATAGGAATTTGTCTTGGTAACACTGGTGCATAGACGTATTGACAACTCCTAGAGTTTCATAGCACATACAGTTATACATGGCACAAGGTCAGCATGACCTCACATACAGAGGGATGATTGTGTGTTACAGACAGTGGGCTATACAGGACACACTATGCAGTGTGCACATAAACATTTTATCATATGTTCATGGTCATTTTCTGCTCAAACAAACACTTTATTTGGGCAGCGAACACACAAACAACTCTATTCATCCTTCCACTGAGTGTAAGGTCATTTAGACTGGCAAAGTGGGAGAGAGGAAAGGGATAGATGGAGGGAGGAAAAGAGGGAAAGAGAGAGAGGAAAGGAGGTTGAGGGGAGAGAGGAAGAGAGAGGCAGAAGCAGGTTAGGTGATCCATCATAGCTGTCCAGTCTTACCTCCTGCTGGGTCAGTGGATCGAAGTCAACCCCGGGTGGACTTTATTACTTCCAGCACACACACACACACACACACAAACCAGCATACACACACACACACACACACACACACATAGTAATGCACATATACGCTCCTCTGCGAATGTGCGTGCGCACACATACGCACGCACTGGAGGGAAGTCACCACGAGGCAGAGATGGAGAGCCCAGGTAGATGCAGAAGGAAGATAGAGAAATCACTTGTCCTCTCTGCGTGTCATGTCTGGTGAATACAAGACTTGTCCTGGTGAGTTCTGGTCTTTAGCCTATCAACCCCCTGTATCTCTTTAAATATCTTCGTATCCATCCATCTCTTCTCTCCTCCTCTTCCTCCCTCGCTCGCTCGGTGGTGTCTCTTTCTCTTCTAAATGAACAGTGGTAGCTGGCAGGCCCGGTTGTTCATTTCAGCTGTATTGATTTGTGCCTTTATTGAGGTAATAACAGTTTGTTGACCACACTTCTCTCAACTGTTGGCCTCAATCATTACAGAGAGGGGCAGGAGAGGGGCACACACTGGCAACTTCTTGAGTTACAAATGTCTATTCACGGCTACCTTAGCAAAACCTCTTTGTGCCTGTTCCTCAGTCAATTTTTAATGGAGATTCAATTGATTGGGAATATAACGTATTCTGTTCGAGTGGCACCTTTTGCAAGGTGATTCTTAATGAACCCTCACGTCCATACACACTAAACAGGAAACAAGCAGGATATCTGCCAATGCCTGTTCTATCTCTGTGTGTTGTGGTAATGATCCAGTGTCCAGCTGAAAACAGCCCCCATACTGTGCTGTGGCTCAGGCAGTCATAGTGAGGAGGCACAGCCAGACTGCAGGGTGTTTAGCTAAGGCTGTAGTGAAGCTGGGGGTCTGGGGCCGGCTAATGAGTGACCGCCCTGCCAGACGAAGCCAGGCTCTGCTCTGGATCAGGTTCCCCTTCCTGTTGACGTCTCTGTGGGCCTGACTTTACGGGAAGAGACCCTGCGCCCAGGAAATGGTCTCCCCTTACAGCATCAGAGCTAGGGAGGCAGCACGGCGCTAACCACATTTATCTGTTTATCAGAACGACTCTGGAGCGCTGCCTAATCGTGTTTAGCTACTGGACAGATCCCTTTGCTAACGAGAGACTGATAGGTACAGACAGGGCACAGGACCACGAGAGAGTGATTAATTGAGAGAGAGAGAGAGAGAGAGGGAGGAGAAGAAGCAGAGGGAGACGAGAGAAAGTAGTTTGGAGGCGCAGGTGAAGACGGAAGAGATTAGAAGAAGAGATGCACAGACAGTAAGGAGCATAGGCCCTGAGGAGAATGAACTGAAGAGCTATGAGACTCATGGCTGCTTAGAGAGAGGCAACAAAAAAAAAAAAGAAAAAATTTAGATGAAGTGATGTGTCCTCCCTGAACACCGTCACACTCCAGCTGTGGATCTGTTTGTGTCCTAATGCCTCACACTTCCCTCATTTCCCCCTCCACCTCCCTCTCTTCCACCTCCTCCTCCCTCCCTTCATCCATCCATCTATCTATCTAGCAATCCCTGGGAGGCACAGGGCGTCGAGGAAAAGCAGAGAGAAGGAAGCGAGAAGCGGAGCATACATACTAAAGAACCACTTACCTACCTAGGGCCTCTACATCTCTCAATCACCTCGAGCAGGCCTCCTCTCTGGTCTCCCCTCTTTCCGTCTCCCCCCCTCCTTCCCCACTCTTGCCTCCCTCTCTGCTTCCCCCAGATAGTGCTAGTAATGGGAGGTTAACACAGAGGCAGCGCTCCCATTATTGAGTGAATTTAGCACCTCGGACAGCGCTCTACAATCTTTATTGCTTTGCTGACCCTCTCGTCATGTCCTGGGCGTGCTCGACAGCCTCCACATGTGCGTGACTGCGTGTGCGGTTGTGTGTGTGTGTGTGGTGTGTGTGTGTGTGTGTGTGTGTGTGTATGTGTGTGCGCGCACGCGCGTGTGTGTGATATGAGGTCTGATTGAAAGGCGGTGTGTCACGGAACAGAGAGCACACATGCTCCAGGGCTTGTTCACAGCGAGGGATACACTCGGGAGGGTATAACGCACAGCGTGTGTGTGCGCGAATGGAAGAGAAGGAGGGAGAGAAAGAAACGAGGGGAAGGTTGGAGGGGAGGGGGCTGCAATTTTCTGGTTGTCGCGCCTCCAGCATATATCCTGGGCCCGGCACATTAACTTTTAAAAAGGGTTTCGTAGGGCTGTAGGTGTCTACATCACACACGCACATATAACGACTGCCTGGAGTCACACACTCATACACTCAGGGAGGGAAAAGAATAGAGACAGAGAGAGGAGAGAAAGGAGGGTAAGCGGTAGAAAATGAGCGCGGAGAAAAACGGCAACACCACGTTAGGATAAATGTTTGATGTGGGAAATTCCACTCGGCGGTCTTCATCTGAGCAATGATGTTCTACATTCATCACACAAAGTGAATGCAGGACTATTCACTTGGATCATTACCAGGGTTAATACAGGGCAGGAGACGGGTGTGTCCCAGCTGACGAGGGGAGTTGTATGGCCGTCAACCTGATGATATGTTGTGTTAAATGAGATTGATGCGTGATCATGTGCAGTAGATTCATGATGCAGCGCTGACAGTGGGGAGGAGAAGATGTAGAAGATGGTTGACTGATAGAGAGATATAGGCTCATGTTTTATTCACAGATAGCGGTATCTTCCCTCTGCTCTCCCAAACTGCCCGGGCTAGTAACAAAGTGCCGGGACAGGCCCATTTCTCTTCCTCTCTCTTCCTCTGTCTGCCTCTTTCCCCTCTCGCGCTCGCTGTTCTGCATTCACAGCATAATGTAAGAAGTGAAATGTAATAAAAGTGACTGAACTCTTTGAGGCGTCACACTGATGATCAATCCCCTTTGTCTTTCTGTGCTTGATTGCAGGAGGTGATCTTAAAGAGAGCAGCAGACCTGGTAGAGGCCTTGTACGGGATGCCTCACAATAACCAGGTACATGCACACACACACAGACAAAAAAAAACACACACACACACACAAACAAGCATGTACACAAACATCAATATCTTTTCTTAGATAGAATTATGTTTGTGGTTAGGACCACTGGCAGCATCAAAGGCAGTGTCTCCGCTGGCCCCACAGCACCCTGCTGTGGTCATGCAAGTTCCGGGGCCCTCAAAGACACACATGGGAATATGTGAATGCTATTTTTTTTGATCAGCTCATATGCTGAGGAGGAAGGGAGGAGAAGTGCAGTGAAAATGTCGAGGGAGGAGAGGAGAATGGGAAGAGGCAGATGAAGAGGAGAAGTGGGATTATAACACTGGACTCTGGAGAAGGAGGAGGCGGAGAGGAGGATGGAAGCAGGGAGGAAGAGAGGAAGAGGCAGGCTAAAGATTTGATGAGTCTGTTAATGAGCCTTTCCTCCATTTACTGGAACCAATCCCACCACTCCCTGTGACCACTGATAAAAACCACTCAGCCTGCTAGGTTTACATGCGCAATATCTCGAGTGGAGATCTAGCATTCTTGTGAGAGCATGAAGCCTCCATCAAGGGCACATTTTCCCTTCTCTTCCCTTCTCTTCTCTTCCCTTCTCTTCTCTTCTCTTCTCTTCTCTTCTCTTCTCTTCTCTTCTCTTCTCTTCTCTTCTCTTCTGCCTCTGTTGCTGACCACAGCTCTTTTTTTTTATCCCTCATTGTCAGGAGATGATTCTGAAACGAGCAGCGGATATCGCAGAGGCCCTGTACACAACAGTGCCACGAGGGCACAACCAGCTAGCCAGTCTTGGCAGCGGCTCCGTCCATGCTGGCATGATGGCCGTAAACTCCTTCACCGGGTCAGAGGTGGCACAAACAGCCAATCAGGGTGAGCAAACCCAGGAGGAAATAGCCCAAAGTCTATCATCATGGGAAATGTGGTGGTGATTTATTTGTTTTTTCTTTTCAGGATGGATTGTAAAGATGAGTAGTGCGATAGGGAAATTTTATTTTTCATGTGGGAAATTTAGAGAGGGTGATTTAAGAGCGTGGAGCAAAGAAGGAAGATTCTGAAAAAGGAGGACAGGGGGAGGGAGGGGAGGTGGCAGCAAGAAACAGGGAAAACTTGAGAGGAGGAAAGAACGAAGACGAGAGAGTGAAGAATGGAGAAAAAGAGAGCCATGGATGGAGTACGATGGAGAAATATGAGTGGGTCCTAGGGGTGTGTATATTAGACTGGGGTCGGCCCCTGTCTGACAGAGAGAGATGTGGGTGCAGTCAGTGGTGATTCATCACATGTATCAGGGGAAGGAGAGGAGAGTAGATGGACCAGCCTCTGGATGTGTCTCAATACTTCCAATGAGCTTTCTCACCTTTTCCTCTGCCCTTCATCTTCATCTGGAAATATCTTCAGATATAAAGAAAACAACAGATATCAGCTGCTTGACTTCTGGCCTGCTGTTCTCCAACTCACAGCAGATGAGATCAGGGAATTGGTGGTGCCTAATTATAGAAGAGGAGGCTACTACAGTAGTGAAGTGCAGCCCTCGTTGCACCATAGAGTAGAAATTCCTGATGTTCATTTCCAGCTGTTTTTTTTTTTCTCCAGTGTCAGCATGTTGGACCTGAGATGTGTATTTATAGTCATCTTTCCATCGTGTCCTCCTTCTGTTCACTGCCCCTGTAAAGCATAAAGGAGAGAAAGGTCCTGTCAGAAATACTGGCTTCATTCTTTATAAATTATAAGAGAGCTGCAGAGGCCTTTTAGTGTTAATTGCCTTATCAATATTTCTAATTTTGGAGATGAGCCAGTAAGGTTAAAGGCCTCTTTTTTTAAGGAGCTGGATTGAGGCTTGTTCCCTCTCATATCATTCTTCCTCCGCTCTGTTCATTGCTTTCTCGCTCTGCCATATGCTCTCTAAGATTTTTCAAAAATTTCTTTTGGCTGATATTGCTATGTCCATTAGCCGTGTAAGGAAAAGAGTATTTGGCAACGCTGCATGTAGGCTTTCTAGTTTTGTTTTGTCTGCCATCTGCTATACCCTTAACACCTATTCTCTCTCCGTCTCCCTCTCTTTCCCTGTCCATAGGTTTCAGTAGGAGTACAAGCAGTGTGTCCCCTCATGGTTATGTCCCCAGCTCCACTCCCCAGCAGAGTAGCTACAGCTCTGTCTCCACTAGCATGAATGGCTACGCTAACTCTGGCATGGCAACCTTGGGCACCTCGCCCAACTTCCTCAATGGATCTGCAGGCAACTCGCCCTATGCTAGTGAGTAAATACACCACATCCTAGATCCAAAACCAGGATGGGGGATGAAAAAATCAAGGCACGGAAGGCAGAAAAGATTGAATCAGAGCCTTTTGAACTCAAGTGTCTGACAGGAACTGAGAAAGGGAGGTATAAACAAGAAGTGACACACAAGGAGAAAGTCTTTCAGTTCAGCTGGCTCATCTGTTTCTTTAAGAACAGAGTCAAACGCAAATCCCTACTTTATTGGCCAGGGGAGCAGACCAACTAGCACCCCCCTGACATACACACACACACACTCACCACCACCTCTGCTCACACACACACACATTCACCCTCTACATTAAAGACCCTTGATTAAATCAATAAACTAATTGCTAGAGAAGCAATTCCATTTCAGCTCTTTGATTCCTGGGTGTTAACAAGTATTTTAACAGGCTCATCGGCCCCACACAGACACTTTCAATCAATGGCCCCTCGGCCTGCCTTTGTAGGTCCAATTTTCATTAATTGATTAGTTAGGCCCCTTCATAAATGGATTATGACTTTATTGCGAGGATTTGTCAGGAAGAGCCATAAAAGCTAAGTGTTGGATAATAACAACAATAAAGGCAGAAGCAGATATCAGAGGGCAGGTGAAATACGACTCGGCTGATTGTAAAATCACTGAGGGGGAAAATGCTCTTAGTGTATTAGCAGACAAAAGACAAACCCAGGAGAAGTGGATGGATGGTATGATGTCAGAAGGAGACAGGGTGTTGGTTGTGACGATAACCTTCTGGTCATTTTTGCCTGTACACGAGTATCATAACTGTGACTTACAGTTTGTGGCAATTTGTAGCAACAGTAAATCCAGCTAACAGCCTTCATTTCACAAAATGTAAGTTTAGCTCTTTTCAAAATGCTGTTGTGCTGTGCAATCTTCCCAGAATCTAATCCAGAGCTCCAGTAATGATGGGGAACTGAAATTTAGGATTTTACAGATTTAATGCTCCACGTCTGAGTCCTAATCTATTCCAGTGGAATCACAGTGATCAGTGAAGTTTAACTTTGGTTAACTTTAAGACATAAAATTGCACCAATAGCAATCAGCTGGAGAGTCCTAAATGGAGGAATTGTAGCGTATTAGCTGAGAGTCACCATCCAGTTTTAATAACCTTTCTGCGTATAAACTTCTCCACAACAATGACATAGTTTCAGACAGTTATGAGATAAGAGTTGGTTGTACACAGTCTTACTATCCTGTTGGTGACCAAGCTAATGAGCTTTTTTTTCCACTAAATGACATGCAGTTAGCAAGCCCGTTAGCATAGAGATTTCTTGCCCTTTTCGAAGAAACTTCAAAGAAATAGAATTTCCATTAAAAGCCCATTTGTTGTATTTATTAGAACCACTGGTTCAAGCTGTTGAATGAAATCTCTTGCATGATTATCTGTGATACAGCTGATGTGGAAGAGCCTAGTTTGTAAGTTGTTCTGGAGACAAATTATTGGTACAGCACCCCAAAGTTTGCGAGATGTTTATGAAGTTGTTGCAACCCTTGAGCAGAGGATGAGTCATCAAAACAGGCTGATCAGAGGAAGAAAATGCTTCGAGCTGTTTTCAGTGCCAACTAAACACATTTTTGTCTTAGCTATGGAATATCTCATTGCCAGGTGATTACTTAACAACTAAAAGAAAAAAGTCTCAGCCAGCTGATCTGAGTCCAAAATGTTATCCCTCCTGCCATCGTCCATTGACCAGTCCCTTTCTGTTCGTCCCGTCTGCCTGTCCTCTGCCCACGGCCTTCTCTCTAACCCCGTCTCTCCCCTTTCCGTCTTCATCTTTCCTCCCTGTCCTTTCTTCCCTATGACCCCCTTAACCCCGACCCCCTTCCTACCCATCTCTCTCCTCTCAGTCGTCCCATCAAGCCCCACCATGGCCTCGTCGACCAGCCTCCCCTCCAACTGCAGCAGCTCCTCCGGCATCTTCTCCTTCTCTCCAGCCAACATGGTGTCTGCCGCCGTCAAGCAGAAGAGCGCCTTTGCCCCTGTCGTTCGACCCCAGAACTCACCCCCGCCCACGTGCACTAGCACTAATGCTAACAGCCTGCAAGGTAAGCTGCCAAACAAGTAGACGCCTGGCATTTTTTACATGGTATCTAATGAATTTGTGAAAGATTCCAGTAGCTAAAAGTATATTTACTCAAGAAACATAAATCCTCAAGCTTTAATCCTGCTTTTCCTCACTTCCTTATGGTAACAATTTCTCACTTTTGCTCCCACTTCTTCCTCCAATCTTCCTTTTCTCCCCCCTCTTCACTCCCTGTTTTTCCTTTCTTTACCCTCTTTAAACCCTCCACTCTCCTTCCTCACTGTAGATCAGTCTTTTGTGGACTCTAGCAAGTACTCATCGGCCAGCTCTCTGCAGGGCCTGGCCTTCTCCTGAAGTACGTTATGCCTCTCTTTCGTCTTCTCTTTTTCTCTGTTTTCTTTCCACACTATCCCACCGCTCATTTGCGAACACCAGCTTATCCTGCCCCACTCTTCCTTCTCTTTTCTGTTTTTATTTGTCACTCTTGACTTACCAGAGAGACAGCATGCCACACCATATGTGTTCCATTTCCTGTTTTCGCTTCCTGCTTCCTGCCTGTGCTCCAGCGGGTGTCTCTGTAAAGACGCAGTGGTGGTGGGGAGGGTGGGGGTGTTATGCCACTGAGGGTCATTCTGTTCTCCCATTTCCATCGAATGCAGCACTGGGTCTGTTCGTCTAGGCAGGATGTTGTATGGTGTTGAGATCCTGAGAGAGAGAAATGATGGATGGGAATCTTTATCAGAGCCCCAAGCTAAGCACTTCCTCACTTCCTCTGTCGGCGTTGATGAGCGCTGACCACGGTGACCCAAGGGCTGGTGGCCACTGTGCACTGACACACAGTGCACGCACGCACGCACACACACACACACACACACACACACCATCCTGTTAATCCCAACAAGCCGGAGACACTTAGGAAATAACCAGGGAATTAGTGGATTGAAGAGGGAGGGGAATCAATAGAGAGCCAATATGTTATATGAAAAATTCCTTCCTGTGATGGCTTCTGTGTAAAAATGGGGGGAGGGGAAAGGGGGTGAGGGGGAGGTTGGAGTGAGGAGGTGAGGATAGGAGCAAGTGGCAAGGCAGAGCATGATATAAGAAGGTAAAAATGTGAATAAAGCTCCCCATGAAAGGCTCATGGATTCCATCTCCATGTTCGAGTGTCGAGCGTAATTTCATCACGTCTGTCATCCCACGTCACTGCTTTCTCTCTCTCATGTCTGAATTATGCTCCGTGATGCACAATGGGCTTACACAACGTAGCTGCTAACAATTAACAGTGGCAGCTCTTGCATGAAGCTATTCAGAAAACCTGCGAAAAGTTGAATGATGTTGTCGGTGCGCGCCAAGTCAGCGGCGCAGCGCAGGAAAATGTTTTGATTTTGGGGCCTCGGAATGAAGAGATAATGAGGGAGAGTCGTCTTTGTTCGCCAGATGCTGGAGCACATTTCTGTTATGTGACTGTTGTGATGACAGATGAAACCCAGCGATCACATGACTGACCGTTCTCTCTCTCTCTTTTTTTTTCTTTCTTTCTTTCTTTCTTTCTCTGCCCCCACTCCCCAATCTCCCATTTCTCTCCCTCATCCTCCCCCTCTTTTCCCACAAAGCAGCGATTCCCGGGATGATCGTTCCACCCATGTAGAGGATCTGGGATAGCTGGAGATTTGGGAATGTTGAGAGGAAAAGACACAGTAGCAGAGTCTGGCGAGTCTCTGTTATGCTCCGGAGCTGAACTGAAGGAAGTCAAGATAAGACGCAGGACTCTGTTAAACTCAGGCCTTTCCATTGGGATTTCATCTGAAGGGATAGGGGAGGAGAAAAAAAAAGGGACAATACGAACCTTTGTGATGTTATTTCCCTCTTGGTTGAATTAGTGTAGCTTCTCTGACACCGCGTTGGATGGAGTGTATAGAGACTGATAGTCTGCCCACAGTGTGACACTGACCTCATGAAAAGAGCATTTATTTATCTTTATGTTTATGCCTGTAGGGTTTGGGTTTGATTACTGGAGGCCCCACGTCGTCTTGCAATCCATAACTCGCGCAGACAACAGTGAAGTGTTGGTTTGGCCATGAAGTTTACGTAACCTCTGTCACAATAGAAGATGCTTTCCTTAGCTCAGCCGGCTTACTAAAACCACATAACGACACACTGGCCAAATGGAACCAAGGTCAACAACACAAAACAGCAAAGAAATACAGAATAGAACAAAATCAACCCCTTAGTTTTGCTGCTAACTATCCCATACAACTAAAAATGGTGTGTCAAAATCGCCCTATGCTATTTTCAACATCAGAAACCATGCCTTTCTTTTTTTGTTTTTTTTTCGTTTGGTTTGTTTGTTTGAATATTAATAAAACTGTGAGGATTGAGCTGTTTGCAATATGCTTTTCTGCTTGTCATGTGAAGAAAAGGTGATGATTTAGCCAAAATTGACATTTTGTCGGAGATTTTAGTGAAGACTTGAAAAGCCAGAGGATGTGTGCGTCCAGCCAGCACTGTACTGAAGGAGTCTAGCAAATATCAGATTAGAATAAATGCGTGATATATGTGATATATTTTTGTATATAAAAAAATGTTGAATTTTTCATTTGACATTTTCTTTTCTTTTTGCAATAGCTATAGTTTGAAATGTAAACATTAAATGTCTTAAGGCAGCTTCTCAGTACAGAAGATAGATTTACTGTGTGTTGTCAATATCTCATCTGCTAAACATGAGAAACATGGATTTGGATACAAAAAGGGGATTCCTGTAAAATATCCTATAAATAATGTATTTATCCCTTGTATTTGTACATTGCCTCTCACCCCTGTTTAGTTGTGTTGTGTAAGTTTAATACAGTAAGTGAACATATTTCACAGTGTTTTGTTTCATTATCTACTGTTGTCTCTCACTATTTAAATGTGACTTTTTTATCTTTTTTTTTGTTTGTTTTGTATGTTGATTGTTTTGCATTGGTATACCATGCTTTCATTTGTTGATTCAAAACATGCCATTGTCTATTTTTGTATTATTTGTAAGTTAATAAAAAATTCAGTTTTTTTCCTTATGAAAATGTTTATTGTATGGCAAAAAAAGTAGCATCTTATTCAGAGTATTTGGTTGAAGTAGATTTTTTAAGAATATATACACACATTAATATATACTGTAAATCTATATCTTTTTTGTTTGAGGCTTTCAGATTGATACTGTTCTTGAACTGATAATATGCATGGGTTCTTCTCTTGAGTGACACTTTCTTTTTTGTGTGTGTGTGGAAACCAAGAGAACTAAGAAATTGCTCTGTGTTTTTCTTTCTTTGTGTTCCTCTTTTTTCCCCCTCTGTTCTTTCTTTTCCTGTGTTATTTATGCCTGCTTACATACTGTATCTATATACTCTTTCTTTTTTTCTGTCACTGTAATCTTTACCAGCAGTCTAGATGCCTTAACAATGCAAACCCATTCTTCATTCAATCACGTGTACAGTTTTCTACCCTCACCACAATTGTCTATTGCCACAGAGGAATTCATGGGAACTTGGGGACAAAGCACAAACCCACTCTGTTTGGTGGTGAAGCCAGACTAGAATACAAAGAGCCATAATTCAACAATCACACACACCCCCATGTACTATAATACTACAGCAATGGCATGCTTTGAAGGACAGTCGACGCTGAGAGGCCTGTCTCAGCTGTGCTCATTGCACTTTAGTGTTCACGGAAACACTTTGTCTTTTTTTGTAGCGATTATGTAGCTTTTTCTTTTTCTTTTTCTTTTGATTAATGAAATAATTTCAACAGCATGATGGTAATATTTCTCATTAACCACAGAATCATAACGGTATGACAACACAGAGCTGTTTTAATTGTAGTACAAAGGGGCGCACAGTGAAGACAAGCACTGTCACAGCACAATTTTAATCTCTCACATGGAGTCGTAGGTCTGACTCCAGTATCCGACAGTCGATCCCCCAGTCCTCTCCCTGTATTAGCCTTTGGACAATACAGCTTCATTACAAGCCAAACAGAACAAGAAGAAGTGAGGGAGCATGAAAGGGAGCTCCTTGGCCCCTCAGCCATTTCTGTAGTCTTTTCTTTGTGTCTGCCGTGTGTCTTCAAGCTGTTGCTGGACAGAGAATAGGGCTTTTCTCTCTGCTTTTCTTTTCTAGAGCCTGGTTTTGTTAAGTGGATAGAAAGGACCGTTTTAACAGAGGCGCCTGCTGACAGACAAGTGTTTTTCAGGCACTTGTGTGCCTGTGCTGGTCTGGGCCAGGGCGGGAGGGGCTGCACCATATCTGTTTCAAATGAACTACAGAGGTCTGTTGTCATACAATGGCTTCTTTGTAAGCAAAGTTCCATCCTGATTATAAATATTGGTAATGGGTGACAAAGTTTTGTATTTAGGTAACAAACAACAAAAAAAAAAAGATGCAAACCAAATAGCTGGTGTCTATTTTTTCCTCTGTTTTGTCTTTGACTGCAAATACACTGAACAGCTCTATGATATAAGGGAAGAAAAAAATTCTACTGTATAGATTGTTATTGTTTTTGATGAAAATTGAGCTGTAAGATAACTTTTGGACTCTCACAATGTTGAATTAAAGTTACCTCTTGTCTGTGACTTATGTTGTCATTTTGTTATTTTAAAATATGCCAAGTTTCTGATTTCCATCATGCGATCAACAAATGTAAAATGAGATGCAGTGGCTTCAGAAAGTATTCAGACCCCTTCACTTTTTCTACATTTAATTGTGTTTTAGATTCAGTTTGAAATGAATAAAACTGACATTTTCTGCCCTTCAGACCACAGTCAGTAATCCAATGACAAAGTGAAAACATGTTTTCAAAGTCAAAAACTGAAATCTCACATTTACAAAAGTATTCAGACCCCTTTGCTGTGACACTCTGAACAGTAGTCAGCTGCATCTTGTCTGCTTTAACTTTCTTTCAGATGTTTCTAGGACTTAATCTGTGGCAAACTGAATTGACCATAGTTTAGAAAGGCACACACGTGTGTATAACGTCCCACAGTTCACACTGCATGTCAGGATGAAAAGCTGTGAAGCTCAAAGATCTCTCTGTAGACTTCTGTGATAAAACTGTGGCGAGGAATAGATCAGGGCCAGAGTTTAAAACCATTTCTAAAACTCTTGACTGCTCCCAGGAGCGCAGTGGCCTCAATAATTGTGAAATGGAAGAAGTTTGGAACCACCAGGACTCTTCCTTGAGTGGGCCGTCCGGCCAAACTGAGTAATCAGGCAAGAAGGGTCTTGGTCCAGATACTGTTTATCCCTATGGTGAAGCATGGTGTCGGCGGTATCATGCTGTGGGGGCACTTCTCAGCAGCAGGGACAGGGAGACCCGTCAGAATTAAGGGAAGGACGAAAGCAGCCAAATACAAAGTTGTCCCTGAAGAGAAACTACACCAGAGCGCACATGGCCAGTTACTGGGTAGACGCTTCACCTTTCAACACGAGAATGACCCAAAGCATACCAGCCAAGACAACGCTGGACTGGTTTTGGGACACGTCTGACTGTGCTTGAGTGGTCGAGCCAAAGCCCAGAATTAAACTCTACAGAACAGTTGTGGAGAGACCTGAAGATGCCGGTTCGAACGACGGAGCTGATGGTAAGAATGGCAGACCCAGGCTTGCAAAGAGAGACTTACCCAAGAAAACTCGAAGCTAACTGCTGAAGCAGAAGGGGCTTCTAAAAAAGTACTGAATTATGGGTCTGAATACTTCTGTAAATGAGAGATTTCAGTTTTTAAATTAAATCTGTAACACCATAAAATGTGGAAAAAAGGGAAGGGGTCTGAATGTTCTCTGTCGCCCCTGTACGTTCAACCCATGGAGCAACAGTGAGGATGGTTTTGTGTCTTTATTCCTTGACTGAAAATGTCATCACCACATAACTGACAGGCGGTTGACTAAGAATAGAGGAGGACTGGCTACGACTAATTCCACAGGTCAGAAACAGGCCTGCATCCCATCCCCCCTCTAGGCTCCTTGCTCTAATGAATCTAATTCATTAATGCATTACTGATGGCATGGTGAACATGGTTAGCCTGACAAGTTTCCTCCTAAACATATTAGTTAATGATGATTCCAAGGTTATTAATTGCAAACGCACCAGCCCACCATAATTGAGTCATCATTTGCATACCCGGTCATCAGCAGAAAATTAATTTCTTTTTTATTTTTTGCATATCTAATTTAAGGGGCTGCGATTGGATTAGCTTGTGAAAATAGCGGATCCCGGGATTCTGCTGACCTCAAAGTGTTCCAGGGTCTCCACGGTAACTGGAGGCTTCCGTAACGCCAAGGGGAGGGAGCTAGACGACCTGGAAGTACTGATGAAATAAGGACTCGTGAACACTGTGCGTGCTTGTGTGTGTTTGCCTCCTTAATTGCCCAAAGGTTCATAACTGCACAGGGCTTTTTTTCCCCCCCTCCCATACATCTAATAACAGAGTTGATAGTTTGCTGACAAACAGTAAAGTGGGTTGTAGTGTACACGATTTAGCAGTAAGAGGTGGGATATTGAATTATGGAGGTTACACACTCAGTGCTCAGGAAAATGAGTCCTGGAGCCTAATGTTTTTGATTAGCGAGCCGAGCACCGCTGCTGTGTTGCACCGCACAGCTCCAGGGATTCGGCTTCCCCAAATGCAGCTTGCAGTGCAGCACACACACCATCACACACACACACACACGCACACTCATAAATCATAAATACACATAGACAAAAGGTGAACCCATTTTGCTCTTTATTTCCAGCAGCTTTTCAGGCCCAGATAGAGTGGTCAGTGTGGGAGGAGGACAATAGGAGTGGAAGGCCGAGGGCAACGTGTAGCCAGCAGACCTCAACCCTCTGGAGATATAACATTAAAAGACGCTATTCCTGGAGAACTACTCCTCTGGATAGAGACGGCAGAGCCTTCACACATCAATAGAGGTGCTGTTCAGGAGCTTCTGTGCTACTAGTATCCTAATGAAATATATTAATGCACATATTCCTTGCTCTCCTACTCCTCTTTCTCATTCTCCTCCCTGCATGGACACATGAAGGGAGGAAGAGCGGAGAGAGGCGTATTTGAAAGAAAAACAGGAGTCCCCATGGGGATCCCGGATAAAGAAAGGAAAGGAAAGAAATAGAAAGGAGGGTGGGGTGGTGTGGGGGAATATTCAGAATGGAGGCAGACCTAGACAGTGAGCAAAAGACAAGGAGAGGAGGAATGAATATTAATAATATTCTGTGCAGGAAAATAGTCACAATGGACATCATACAGAGACGAAGGGAGGAAATGGGAAGCAAGTTCCTGGCCTTACTTAATGTATGTGTATTTGCAGATGCACACGGGCCACATATCTACATCTGTGTATGCATGTACACGCCTGCCAGCAAGACAGAGCATATCCGAGTACAGGAATACCTAGGATGAGTGTGCACTCACATTCAGGTTTGCGCTCTCGCTTATACGAGGGTGTGTGGTCGTTTCCCACAGTAATTATCCCGGTGACTGTGGGTGTCTGTCTATGATCTGTGTGGTACCTGTCAGAGGGAGCCCGGCAAAGCCCATGCTTTATATTCTCTGTAATTGCTGCTGCTAATTTACTGTGCGTTGGCCTAATGAGTAGGGAGGTGAGGGGCTGGGGTATGTAATGGATGTTAGAGAGATAGAGATAGAGATAGAGAGATGGATTTCACCACTGCCGGCAGAGAGAGAGGGAGTAGGGGAGGGGGCCGGCGAACTGTGTGTGTTAAGCAACCATGTAGAACACTTATCTTTATTGTTCTACTAAAATGAAAAAAAAAAAGAAAAAAACAAAAGATAAGCTGTTTGCCCCTCCCCCTCCTACTTTTCCTCTCTCTCTCTCTCTCTCTCTCTCTCTCTCTCTCCCTTCTCCCCCTCCATCCTCCCCTCAGCTGATGTTACAGTGGCGACTGCAGGGAGCGCATTAGACAAGCTTTTTGTTATGTTGATTAATGATAAAAGCAAATCCAT